TTGGAACATTAACTCCAAAAATGTAGATTTTTTTTTGTTTCAAAAGTGAAAATCAGATTGATCCCAAATATTTGGTTTTAATGAGTCATATTTATAGTAACCACCAGACATGGATTCCATTAAATATAATTAATAGTTGTTAACCAGGTGATGTATCATCAAGGTCACTTCATGTAATCCAAAAATAATTTAGAACTTTTATTACAGTGTGTTTTTGACACTTGTCATTCCTCTCAGATCAAAAACTGATTTCTGTTTAACTCCATGCTTATAGAACGTTTCTCAGATTAAAACCTTCTACACATCTAGAGAAAAGCTTTCATAGAAGGAAAAATGAATAAAATGCATATTTAAAATAATTTCTAAATGTAATTTATACCAACATCAAAATGGATTTAAAACTGAACCTTGAGGCTCTACAACTATTTAAGGTCTACCCCACCTTTGCTTACAGAGCACTGAAATTCCTTTTTCCATTTTGCAATGAATAAAAAGTACTCAAATCTGAGATGACATCCATAAGCAATGAATGATGCAAATGAGGCCAGATTTGGGGAAAAAAGTCAGAATTCTGAGAAAAAGGTGGTACCGTAATTAAGGGTTATATTTACCTGAGTAACTTTTAGTAAAAGAACTACTTTCAGGAGTAGTTAAATTTACTTTTACTTCAGTCACTTTCTTGTGACAGTATTGCTGCTCATACTTGAGTTAATATTCTAGTTATTCCACCCACCACCAGTAACAACCTATTTTGGGCTAAATGAAAAATATAGTAAATGAATAAATTATATTTTTCATTCCAATTATCATTTCACTCTGATGAGTAAAGTGTTTTTTCGGTGAGTTCGTGTTTGTCTTTTTCTACTTTGAAATACCAGACTTTGCAGAAAAGTTATCCGATTCTGTAAACTGAACGCTAAATATTAGGAGCCAACAATTACTTAGAACTTCCATCCATCCATTATCTGACACACTTGTCCCAATTGGGGTCGCGAGGGGTGCTGGTGCCTATCTCCAGCTGTCTACTTAGAACTTAAGAAGCCAATTTACTAAGTAGGCCTGCTTTTACTCACTCAATTATGTACATAATTTCCTGCATTTCTTTATATTTTTACTTCAGTAAAGACAAATGTTACAGTAGTGCTACCCTCACACAACTATTTAGTTTTTGTTTTTTATGAAGTCAAACAGCTCAACTACTCGCACACTTGGGACAGGTCAGGTTTCTTCTGTTAACACAATTTGTTTAAAAGTTAATTCGATAGTAATGAAATTGAGTTATAAGTAAAAGTTGATTTTTCTATTTTTTTACAGTGTTAATGTGCAGGCAGTTGTGTCCACAGCCAGAAACTATTGCTGTTTAAGGGCCTGCAGTGTAGAAGATCTAGGGGCCCCTGGTTCAGAGGGTACTATGAAGTTGGATGTGAAGAGAACTATAGAAAGGTCATAGCTAAAGTGATTGTTTAAAACTAGAGACCAATAACAGAAAAACATTAAAATGGATCCAAGACTAACATTGGCTAAAGTAAGCCATAAAGACTTAAAAAATAAAATAAAAAATACAAACAACAAAGACAGTTTTATAGACGGTACACTGTAAAGCACGGCGGCACAGGCATCATGCTCGTGGATTAGTGTGGATGAGTTATGTTTAATAGAAGACTAGGCTAAAACTGTATATAGATTAAACAGCTCCATACAGAGTGTTTTAAAAAAAATACTGCTTGAATCTAATGAAAACATTCATACCAATAAAAATATCTTAAAGCAGAGATAAAAATGTACTTAATGAAGCGTTTAATGCTGTTAAAGATGGGCTCTGTGTCTGCACCTTGATGCTCTCTCCAGTTCATTTTCCTAAAAAGAGATCACTCTTGACAAACTCTTTAAATAACACTTCATAACTTATATGCATTTAATAACCAGGAGACATGACAACAGATTTTAATATAATTTGTAATCTCTCAGATCAGAGAAATTGCTTAGAGTTTACAGAAGGCAGCTGCTCACCTCTCAGGAAGTGGAACCGATTAACAGTTAAAAGGACATTTTATACATCTCCAGTCTGCCACATCATTACATCGCACACGATAGCAGATGAGTAGACATCCATGGCTCCAGCCTCATCAAAATATTACACTTTGTTCTTAGCTGAAGAACACTGCTCTCATTCAATTTCCAAATCTTTTCCATATACAGAATGAAGATTATAACTGTATATCTGGACAGACGAACTGGCTTAATTAGATAAACTATTGTGGAAAACATCAGTTCTGACACGCAACAGGCAGCTAATATTACACTGAAACAAAAAATGCAACTGTTTTTGGCATTTAATTAAACATACTTAGTTACTTTAACACAAATGTATAGCACGATAGGTCATAATTGTGTTAAAGTAAGTAAATATGATTAAATAAGTGCCAAAAGTGGTTGCATTATTTTTTACAGTGATAATAAACACACATCATCAATGATAAATGACAATTCTTAGAATTATGATTGTTTTTAATGTGACAAAGGAGTCCTATTTAAAGTATTTTAATTTACTGGACTTTACAACATTTGAGGAGGTTATATTGCTTGAGGCTGGAGTGAAAATCAATGTTTTCATGACCCAGTGATCCATGACCAAAGTAAAACCAAGAAATACAGAAGAATTTGGGAATGTACGGTAAGTTAACCTGTTCACACAAGCTGACCAATACTCATAAACAAAACAGCCCTTTTAACTAAATATTGCCTTAAGGCTTCATGTTAAATTCAAATCGTCCAGCCTCTTAGTTCACACAGGGGATTATGGGGAGACCTTCATGTTTCCTGAACAGCTGGAAACTCATGTCGTCTCCTCCCCTATAGGGAAAACACTGTAAACCTATTTTGTTTTCACTGGTTTTTGATTTTCCATGATGAGTTTTTTTTTTATGGTAGAAGCTTTTAATTTGTTGTTTTTTTATTGCAGAAGCTCTGAGTTTTGTTTTTTTATGGCAGAAGCTCTGCTTTTTTTTATGTCAGAAGCTCTGAGTTTTGTTTTTTTATGGCAGAAGCTCTGAGTTTTGTTTTT